TAAATATATCCGTTTGATAAATTAGTTTTGTTTAAATGCACCAAAATAAATGACCCATATTTACTGAGACCTGGATAAAGTTCTTTTTCAAAATGGGGTGTACTCAATTATGTTGAGCACTGTAAATGAAAACTTTCAGAATCCCAACTAAATATTGCAGATCACACGATGTCACTACTGCAGATTGGCATATTGTAATATTAATGCTGAAATTATTTATTGTTTGTACACACTCTCATTCGCATGACCAAAGACTGCATCCTGATAAAAAACACTAAACCGAAATGTTTGGCTCTCCAAAAAAATCAGGACTGAGGTTGGAGTAAATTGGCATCATGAAACGTCCTTGTTTTGCATTGACTCTACTAGAAAGTGAAAGAAGGTGTGGAGACATGAGCACTGCCATAAACTAGTTACAGCATTGAATCAACTCTGGTGTGCTACTTAAAGAGAACTGCTGATATAATGTCACAGCTTTGGCATGTGTTGGGGAGATGCCATGGGAGGAGCTCAATACCCTCGATATTAAGGGTACATGAGGACGGCTGAAACAGTTGGTGTGGATGAAGCAGATCAGAGAAGCTGTCCGTCCTGTGCCAGCCACACACATAGGAGCGATTAGAAAACAAGAGCGCTCTAGAATTTGGCATTCTTCTAAGAGAAACAAGACGAGCTTTTTTGAGATAATGTGCGTGCGAGAGTGTGTGTGTAAAAGCTTGTACAGATCCTGGTTTCCCTTCATTGAAATTACTCAAACACCCACTCATTAATATTAACAGATTATTGTATACTTGCTCTTAATTGTTCAATTGGAGCACTCCAGTGCTGATATTATTATCGCCAATGGGACTTTCAGAAAGACAGGGTTTCTGTGGGTAACATGGTGAAAAACAAAGTTAGCTTTAATATGTGGTTAAAACTGTGATAAAATGATAGTGACATGTCTTTTGTACAGCGAGTGTGAGGTGTCTCTGAATTAATTTGTCAAAAATAAAATGTTAATGTTAAGCTGAGACTTTTGTTTATTGATTATATTTTGATGTGGGTGTTGTGTTTCAAAATAAATGTAGGGCCCTAAATTTAAACTTATTTACTGTAACATTACTGCATGACAAGGAACTGCAAGTATTGAGTGAAAGAATCAAAAAAAGGGCTGTAATTTCACATCAACGTCTATTTAAAATAAAAAATATATATAATATGAAGATTTAGTATATGAATATGCATGATATGTGTAAAATGAAATGGTGGTTTCATCAAACATGAAGCACGCCTGACTGTGATAACGAAATCCCTGAGCTACCAGGGGGCTATTCCAGAAAGCAGGTTATGTGACATACACGGGTAAGTTTGAGAGTAAGTAGGTGGATAACCTCAACTTTGGTTCCAAAATCGGAGGTAACTTCTGGTTATGTTAAGTAGCCATAGCAACTTACTCTCTGAAGATAACCTGCTCCGGAGCAGGTTATGTTCAGAGAGTAAGTTGCTATGTTTCAGAGTTTGTCTGTTTTAGAGAGTTTACTGAGCATTGCGTGCTCTTTTGATGGGAATATTAATGGATGTGGACACACAGATACAAGTTTTTTCGTTGTGAGAGGGTTATAAGTGCATAGTTTTTTTCATAACCAAATTTATAATGTTAATGTATTTAACAAACCTTTTTGAAATCAAATGTGACAAACCGCGGGTCTGCGCTTACCATAAAAAACATTCAGTGCAGCTCTTTGTATTTGCGTCAGGGCATTTTAGGCAACTGTACAATGTGGCAGCATGACCACCTGTACAGTATGCCTGACACTGAACTGTTTTTTACACTTTTGTACAGTTCCTTGGTCATAAATCACTGCGTATCATTACGTAGTTGATTCAGAGCATGGCAATAGTGTAGTGGACAGTGCGTCGTTAATGAACAGCGGAGCGCAAAATGGAGCGAGTTTGAATCTCACTTACAGATCTTGAGTTTTTTCTCTCCTTCTGCACCCTCACATTTTTCTGTATCATATTATAAGTGGCAGCTTTGTCTTTTGTAGGAAAATATATCTTTAATTTAAGATGTAGGACGTCGTTCTTATATATACATTCACGCACACACACCTACATTTTTTAATATAATATTTTTTTCAGGGTTTCTAAATGCTATTGTGTGCATTAATTGCAGCCGATTTTAAAGCTCCATCAGTCACTAAAGGACACTGATAATATAACATTTGTCCAAAGTATAAGTGTGCAGGTACAACTTAATTTTCTATCCTTAATCTTTTGGTGTTTCAACTATTAAACTCATTACTGCTTCCACTTACCAGCTCATCACACACCCCACCTTATCACTATGTTGAGGCTAAATGGCTGATTTTCAGGAAGTAATGATTCAAGTGTATAACACAAATATAGTAAAAAAAAACTATAAAGCAAATGTTGCTTAACACAATGTTTATTTTTATTATATTTGTATTATAAAATAGAATCATTACTGGGCACTACATTGTTACTTGCTGGAGGACAAAAGATACCCTTTTCTGCCTTATACGATGACACCCTACCTGCAGCCTGACCCAGAGGAAATCTCAGTGACCCAAGCAGACAAAACAGATGGAAGAGTGCTAAAAAAATATAATTAGTCAAAAAACTATGTTTAATCAAATATTTTGATCTGTTCATTTCTTCATTTCCTGAAATAAAATGAATGATTTTGTACACTGCTTTATACACACACCTTTCAACGTGTAACATATTTTTCATATACATTTCTCACCTTAAGTTGATGCTCATGTGACTTTATCTTTGAAGATGGACCTTATACAGCTACTTTATAATTTAAATATGTAGATAAAAGATTTTGTGATCCAAGAGTAATATTCAAATATGGAAAAGTGCAGAAAATTCTTACACTGCTTGTTAGTTGAGGCAGAAGGAACTTCGTCTGCATGCAAAATAAAAAGAACCTAAAGCTATCTGACAACAATCACTTACAACAATGACAGAGTGTGTGGTTTAAATCAAAAACTCAACCACTGAAAAGCCTTTATTATAGGACACAGCAGTTAGACAGGCCTCTTTCTATTAGCTGCATGTCAGAAAGAATATTCCAGAGTGTTAAATAAAGAGCTCCAGTAATTAAATATTACCTTTTATGATAATGTTTCTGTGTTTAATGACTTTGGACAGAGTTCTAGCTCCAGAAAGATTACAATTTCTATAAGCCTTATTAGTCAATACACATATTGTGGCCTTAAGAAATTAATGGCAAGAAAAATAAATGCAAGAATGGTTATACAACATACTCAAAAAGGATGTTAAAGAGTAGTTTAATTTATCATTACAATAAAATGGAGGATGGCATGTGTAATTTAATGAACTAATACATTTTCTTATTATTTATTTTTTCTTTTCTTATCTATTTCTTATTCTATATTTCTTTCCTTCGTTGAAGCAGATGTGTAATCTCTGTGTTTAAAACCTCCAGTTTCGCCTCTTTAAAGTGCGTTGCCCTTTTTTTCTCACCGTGACTTTCTATGGTGACTCGTGAATTCGGCGATCTACTGAAAATGCCTTCAGGTGTGTGCCGTGCACGCGCATTAACCCGCGGTTATCTTCAGGAGGTTGATTTAACTAACTCTTGTCACCTGTTTTGGAACCAACATACTCGCGGTAAGCAGGTTTTGGGTAAATCAACCGAGAGTTTAGGTTTTAGCAGATGGTAAGTTAACCCAGCTTTCTGGAATACCCCCCAGGAGTCACTAGACAAACATTTATCATTTAATGTACACACAGAAACTCAAACTCACATGTCTTAGTAACAACACATTTAAAAAAATATATATATAATAATAAACTAACTTGAAACTGTTACAGAAACATAGGCATATTACTAATGTACAGTAGAATTTACTTAATGTATTCCAGAAATAATTCCATTAATAACTTTATTTTTTAAGATTAATCAAACAGTTATTCCATCTTTTAAATGGATACAAATGGAATTTGGCAAAGTTAAACTTATTATCCTACAGAATTGAAAATATTGTATTATATATTGTTAAACTCTTAGTAAACTGTTGGCAAACTAAGTTTCATGAATTCAATTAACTGAACACAAACTGAGTATTAATGTTTTGCTTAATAAGCTTGTAAAATGCAGCAATAAACTTGTAATATTACTGCTAGGCAGATTTTGTTTTACATGTATAGATTTTTTATTATTAATGTTGTATAATAGATTCTTAAATTATGGATTCTTTATGGCTAGATTTATTACATTTCATCATGTCTGTGTAAAGCACTCCAAAATGCCTTTGTGGAAAATGTGCCAAGTAAGTTAGACCTAAACGAGATGTTACTATAGGGCACGTATACCCAGAAAAATGACTATTTATGCAAAAGTGGTCAGGTGCAAACCTTTGATTATAGAGATGTGCTGATAACAATGCTGTCTCGGGTTTGCATGACTGAGCATTTGACATCTGACAAACAACTAAGCCTTCCATGACTATGGAAATATCACATTCAGCCATGTGAATAGATATGCAGATATAAACCGCGCCATTTAAACAACAAACAACACAGGCTGCAAACCCATGTGCAATTTATAATGAAGTTAACATATATATATATAATTAATCCACACAGGGCCTCAAACTAAAATCAGATAACACTGTGTAGATGCAATTAACGCACCGGCTCGATTGTCAATGAGAAATGCATGACAATAACAAAAGCTGCCAGAGACGGAGAGTCAGCGAGCAAAACCCAAGAAATCACCGTGTTTTACAGACCACTCATAAATGAATGTAAATCGCTCTGCAGCGTTTTGAAATCTGCAGTCATGTCACATTACGACAAGAAAATGAAATATGTACTTGAAAGTTTAATTTGGCAACAAATAGGCTTGAAAACAAAAGGTGACAACATGACCGAGACAAGCAGGCCAAGTAGCTAACGCTCAGTCCGCTAAAGTGTCACATTAACCAGCCCGAGCCAGCGAACTAACGTTACATACTCACCGACTAATTTGACGGCTGGGTGTGAATTATTAAATTCAGTCAGGACGGGAACGGCTCGGCTTAACAGTGTAGTCCTCCGAATGTCCAAGCTGCGAATGAAAGAGATAAAAAGCCCTCCGTCGTGAGATTTTTCTCCTCCCTTTAGCAACAGCCACAGCGCACAGCTGTCATCAAACGGGGACGCGCGCATGCGCAAGCGCAATTCAAACCTGCGCAGACCTGCGGCGTGTGCGTTTCCTTTTTTGTTTACAATATTTTTTTTCACCATTGTTTTCTTTCTACATAAAATTGCAACGATTACATATTGCTTGAATTTAGGCATTTACTTGAGATTTGAAAATGATACATGCATTTTTGTATTGAACTGTTTTGACCAGCAGGTGTCGCTACCATCATGTCATACCTATAAACTCCTCATAAACGTGCACTTCATGTAAAGATGCTTGTATATGGCTCTGAATCAAAATCAAAGAGAATGTAAAAATCTAAACTTCTAAATAAAAATATTGTCTTTTAGGCAGTAGGTAAATCTGGCATATCCCATGTTTTCAGACCTTTGAGAAAATATACAGTATGTGTGTGTATAAATTGACCTAACTTTGAAGTGGTCACTTAAATTTACTTTCTTACATGCTTGGTTTTATTTATTTTAATTTTGTTTTTAGAGCCGTGTTCTTAATTTTGGAGTCTCTTTTATGGCATTCTCAGTCTGTGTGAGTGTGTGTGTGTGTGTGTGTGTGTGTGTGTGTGTGTGTGTGTGTGTGTGTGTGTGTGTGTGTGTGTGTGTGTGTGTGTGTGTGTGTGTGTGTGTGTGTGTGTGTGTGTGTGTGCAGATTTTTTTAACCTTATAAGCAATTAAAATTTTGTAAGCTCTATTGAAAATGTATGCGAAATAAACCCAACACAAACCAATTGTTACATTCTTTTATTTGTTACTGATCATATACATTATATTTATGTGCATGAATAATAATAATGTCATGTCTTTAATGATATGCACAAAGACAATAAAAATCTAACTGATTCTTTTAAAAGACATTAATATAATCTTCAAAATAAAAACAAAACTTTAAAAATCAATTATGAATTCTAAATTAAGAGACATTTTGTAAAATACAATCTTTATATAAGCCTAAACAAACATTGTAACAATTTTACTGATCACAGTTTTAAAAAGTGTAATACAGAACACGTCTTACTGTTTAACATGCTGGAAAAGATTTTACTAAGTTCGATTACAAAAATCAATGTGGTTAATATAATAAATTACACAATAGTAATAAAATTATAAAAATATTGAAGGAGTTTAAGTGATTTTGTTCTTCATCCTCCATAGTTTGTCACTGTACTTTAGTACTCAGCTTTAAACATGCTATTTATACTCATTTCTATACTCAGTTCAAAGATTTTTCTTGTTAGTCTCTATAGTGGACAAACAACAAAGAATAACACAGAAGAGATCAAATCAAATCACTTCCTCGGTTCATAGTTGTTTGCATTGAATGTTCATACAGTATATCTTGAGATCTCTATAACCAATTCTGAAAATAGGGTCCATTTCATAAAATTTTATAATACATTTTTTATGTAAAATTTTCCAATTACAATTTAATTTATACATTTAACTTTAGGAGTTCTATGAAGTGTATTTTCTTTTATTTTCCTCCAAATTTTGTTATTCCCATTTATTATAGAATTTGTAAATAATTTATTAATATTGCTATTATTATTATTCATTCATTCATTTTCTTTTCGGCTTAGTCCCTTTTTTAATCTGGGGTCACCACAGCGGAATGAATCACCAACTTATTCAGCATATGATTTATGCAGCGAATGCCTTTCTAGCCACAACCCATCAATGGGAAACATCCATACATGCTCATTCACATATATATACTACGGACAATTTAGTCTACCCAATTCACCTGCAGCGCATGTCTTTTTGGACTATGGGGGAAACCGGAGCACCCGGAGAAAACCCAGGACAACATGGGGAGAACACGCAAACTCCACACAGAAATGCCAACTGACCCAGTCGAGGCTCGAACCAACAACCTTTTTGCTGTAAGGCGAACGTGCTGCCCACTGCGCCATCGTGCAGTAGCATTATTGTTATTACTTGGTATAATATTAATGTACTATAGAAATAGTAATATATATCTTAAATTTTTAATTTGACACATTGTCATTGTCTGAGCAGGACATACATTCCAACATTAAAAAAATAAAAAACAAAAAATCCTATTATATTTTTGCAGTTTACAGACACTGGTCCACAGATTACACGCATACTGCAACTTTTAATTAATTCATCCAAAATTCTGTAACATTCCATGTAATGTCATACAGCAAATTCAATTTCAATCACTGGATTTTTCTATATCCAAAGAACATCAAAAGTAGGTAAATGGTCATTTGAATCAGTAGCAAAAGCCGAGTGCTTGCAAATCTCAATATGAGATTTGTCATATCAATATTTGCATATTGTATATATAAGTTGAAATTTACACACACAGCTTTTATGTTAAAAGCTGAATCTTTTGATTTGCACACACAGAAATCAACCAACACTCATGCTTCTTGAATTCAAAGTTGCAGCATAATGGTTATAAATTTATCAAATGGCATTCACATAAAGAAAATCACAAGCAATTGTGGCCCCAGCTCTGGCCCACACAATCAGCTTTTGCTTTGTCCACATGCAGCAGTGAATTACGGTACATGATTGGACTAGGTATGGGACGATAACTGTTTTCAAGGTATACCGAGGTTTGGAAAAGTCAAGGTTTTAAAATCGCCACATTTTCTGCAATACCGTTCCAAGGCACGTGTACGATTTTTTATTTACTTTTTTTTGTTTGTTTTTTAGGATAACAGTATCTTCAGCAGAAAATATATCCAAAGATGCCGTTTTAAATTGTAAAAACAAATCTGTGTTTTTGAAACTAAAGAAAGACAGCAGAAGTCAATAATTCATTTGAACGATTTAGCCTGACATGTTTACTTTTCAAAAATATTATAAATGTTTCTTTAAAAAATATATATTGTGTTTAAAAGAGAAAAAGGTTTTTGTTTTTTACCCAGACTTTTAAAAAGAATATAGAGCAGTAATCACAATACCACAAAACTGTGAAACCGTGATATTTTTATCCAAGGTTATTATCATACTATCAATATCTTATACCGGCGCATGCCTAGATTGGACCAAGTCTGGCTTCCATACAAGGGCTGAACATGGACCATATCTGGGCCAAGTCTCAGCCAAGTTAATAACAAATAACTAGGCCTGAACTGGGCCAAATATGCTTGTGTCTCATGACTGCAATGAACTTGATAAACCAATGAAGCATTTCACTTTATGGCTGCACTTTTTCTCGAAACGACCCGGTTGGTAGAATTTTTACTTTACTCAAAAACTATTTAAACTGTATTTTAAAAGTGGGTCAAAATAGGCCAAAGTTACATAGCCCACATATAAATCTTTAACGTCTGGGCCAAATACTATATAATCTGACCCAATGTGCCACCCTAAAGAGGGTACCACCTCTGCCAAAGCTGAGTCATGTTTGGCCTACATACTGTACGCCAGTGCCGGGCGATAACCTGCTGTGCCAGCTTGATGCCAACATGGGCCAGATTTTTTTGCTATCTGGGTACACTCTCAGAAAAAAAGGTACAGGAGCTGTCAATGGGGCAGTACCTTTTTTTAAAAGGTACATATTTGTAACTGAAGGGTCCATAATGGTGCCTCAAAGGAACTTTTGAGCACTAATGTGCACTTTTGGGGTACCTCTGTGGACTCTTTGGGTACAAATATCTTTTGAAAAGGCACTGCCCCACGTAACAGCTCCTGTATCTTTTTTCCTGAGAGTGTACAGTCAGCTTTTTTGTTGTTGTTTTTTTTTAAGATCAAAATGTGCACATGTTCTGAAGATTTGCAGCATGTTTCTTAATTCAAGTGTGCTGTCAAACCGATGAAGATGCTTTCTTAATTTGCTGCTGACTTTTTCTATTTGCATGTAAGTAGCAACACGTTGAGTTTTCTCAACCACTGCACACAGGCGTAATTCATGCTATTAGCCGAAGCTTGACCAATGAACAATGCAAAATAAATATTTGTTTCAGTTTTGTTTTTGTTTTTTGTTAAATATCATAAAACATAAAAATAAACAGATTTCAAATATTCACTTACAAATACATATAAACTCTCAGAAATAACTCACTGGGGTGAAACCTTTTCAAAAGGTACAAATTTGTACCTAAAAGGTCCATATTAATACCTCAGGGGTACATATTAGTACCAAAAAGTACAAAAGTGTTCCTCTTAAAATACTTTTGAGGTACCAATATGGACCCTTTAAGTACAAATGTGTACCTCTTGAAAAGGTATAACCCCAGTGACAGCTCATGTTCCTTTATTTCTGACAGTGTATCAACGTGACAATTTCTCACATTCAGATTTGCAAGCTCTCAAATTTTGCTACTGATTTCTTTCATAAAAATCTGCCTGTCAGCTACTTCAGTAACCTTTTCCAGCTGTCAGCTGTGTATATTTGAATGGCAGACCTCTCTAGCTTGTAGGCTTACCGATGCGATTCCTGCTTCGCAAATTCTTCTTGCCCTTCTGTGCATGAGGAATAGCAGGAGGCAGTGGCCCAAGAGGAGGATGACTTGCCACCTCTTCTCTCCTCGGAGGGCTGTTGTTGGCGCTCGTCTCATTTCTCCAGGCCCCCAGCGGCTCTGAATTGGAGCGGGGCCCCAGAGACAGAGGTAGGCAAGATTTAGGGGTGATAGTGGTCATTGTGCGGTTGAGCACTCGTCTCCTAGATGTCCCCAGAGGAGGCATGCTGGGAGGTCTTTGTTTTTTGGTCTCCATAGGTTCAGCCACGTGGTTTCTTGGAAGTGTAGTTGTGCGAGCCAATGCTTGTATTCTCAGTGAGTTAGTTAAGCGAGTCTCTAGGCCGCAGAGCGCTTGGTCTGTGTAGCTTTGCGTCTCATGGCGAAGCTGAGCGAGTTCCTCTCGTAATTCTAACCTTAATGACTCTAAGTTCAATAATATCTCCTCTAGTAAGACTACGCATAAATCTTCTCCCTTTTCCTTCTTGCTATCTTCACTTTCTGTCATTTGCTCTTCATTATTGTCCTTCTCAGCCGTCCGAGCTTCTGTGTTCTGCTCAGGTGCGCTGATTTCAACCGCTGGTGTAGATTCATCTTGTTCCTTCTTGTTCTTCTCCAGTTCCTTGGTGATTTGCTTTACAACATCCATTATGCCCACACGTTGACCATCTAAACCAGCTTGTGTCCTGATCTGACTCCTTACTAAAGAGAAGACCGAATGGACCCTTGCTTGCTTTTCTTTCCGTGCGGCTTCTTCATTTTTCTCTTCAATTTCTTGTTCCTCAGCTTCAACTTGCATGTTAATCTCCTCCTTCTCCTTGTCGTCTCTGCTTCTCGTCTTTTGCAACCACTTCTTCAAGATGGCTGGGTTTTCTGTTGTCTGCTCATTCATGATGCTCGGCTCTCCTTACTTCTCTTCTCTCCTCATGCTTGTTTTACAATCTCTTTAGGCCTGTTCTCATGCTTTATCAGCTCGTTGTTGTTTCTTCCAGCACTCTAATCTCTCTTATGACTTATGTTGAGATCACATCGAGCTAAGAGAGACCAACAGTGCTGTATTTCCCTGGTGAAATGCAGGCGTCCAATCAGAATCGGCTTCAGACAGTCACTCGTGGCTCTCTGGGGCAGCATACCTCATGTGCAGCAACACCTTCTCCCTAAACGCTCACATATATGCTCATTTAGAGTTCAGATACTGTCAGGTCTATTGTATGAGTGAGCTCAAACACCTGCTCTCTGTAGGTTTGGACTTCTGGGAATACATGATGTACACCAGAGTTTCACACTACAGTTGCAACAGACTGATTCACAGTAACATGGTGATCCTTTGCTGCAATTCTGTTCTGCAAATCCTGATGTAATACTTGAATCTTGAATTGCACTCTCAGAACCATTTTAGTACAAACTTGTAGCATTTTAAAAAGTACTGCCCTTATTTCTTATACAAACAACCCTACGCCAAACCTTTAAACCCAGCCCTCACAGAAAACACTCTGCATTATGACATTTTCAAAATACTTCATTCTCTGGATTTATGTGCTGTTTTCCTCATCAGGACCAAAAAAATATCCTAACAAAACTAAAAAAAGTATAGGGTTCATCAGGCAGAGAAGCTTTTGGACTTTTAAAATGTGTTTTTGATTATCAGAGCCAATACATATCACACACTTCTAAACTGGTTTAAACTCACTGTAAACCACGATTACAGAGACATTCACATTGTATACACCGATCAAACGCACAGATCATCTAGTGTGTCTAATGGAGGCTCACTGACTCAAATAGACAAACAGTGCCTCACTGTCTGCATTTTACATTTCATTTCTACAGATAAAAATGATCTCAGATAAGGTTAAAAACATAAACTCGGTCGGAGTGTTGACCAAAAAAAAAATTTTATTTATTCATGCCTAAAAGTCACTGGATATTAAATAAATAAATAAATAAATAAATAAATAAATAAATATATAAATAAATAAATATCAATGGGCTATCTAAGTATATTGTCCTATATAAAATAATAAAGCTGTGAACTAAACTTTAGGTTTGGATAAGTCTTAATATTAGGCTATGTTGATTTTAAGGTAGGTATGATTAAGATTTATTTACAATTATAAATAAATTAAGGAAATCATGAGCTTAGAGAGTTTTAAACAATTTTTAACAGAGATTAACTTTTGTGGCAAACTAATTCGAATCTGATAAAGTACATCTAAAAACCGCCAATAGGTGGCAGTAAGAGGCCGCTTTATTTGAGTGAAGCTTTGAGCAGTTCATTCAGCCAAAGAAGCCAATAGGATGAACGGACAGTTGAATCAATCCCTGAATCATCGACTCACCCGAGTCTTCTTGGCGAAGGCCTGAATCGTTCGTGTAGGGAAACGTCGCTGTGTATTATTCAGAGATGGCCAACTGTTCTGCTGTTTATTTTATTTATTTTACTATCAATAAAATTAATATTAATAATGATAATATTGCCGGAAGTTGTACAGCGCATGCGTCACGTGTTCATCATCAGCATCCATGACAACCGTCCTGTGGGTGTTGTTTGAATCTCGCTGTGTCGATTGGCATCTGATCTCTGCGTCCTCCGTGACAATTTTTCCAGATTATCGATATTATTGATCGTTGGATACGTCGATTGATCGCCTGCTGTTCCCATCACTCAGGTTTGACCCTTTTTATTACGCTGTGCTTTGTGTTTGTGTTCAGTATGTCTTGTGTTCACTACAGGTTCCAGAGTCGACTCACCTACGACTCGCTCCAGTTTGAAGGCCTCAACATCAGCGCGGGGGAGCTGAAGCGGCAGATCATGAGGAGCAAGAGGCTGAAGTTCTGCCAGCTGAAGATCAGCAACGCCCAGACTGATGAAGGTGAGTTGAGGAAAAGACACTTCAACTGTTCTACGCTAACATTAGATGCGTTATATCAGACACTTCTGGAAGCTGTAAGGTGGTGCTGATGCTGACATGTAGGGATGTTTTGGCTGTTTTAAAAGGCTAATGGCTCTCAAAGTATACCGTGCTCCATAATTATGTGCTGATTCTGATTTTATTTTGCTGTCAGAATACACAGATGATGCTCTCATCCCTAAAAACACGTCGGTCATCATCAGACGGATCCCTGCGGCGGGACTGAAGTCCTCAAACAGAAGATTTGTTGGGTGAGTGCTGTGAAATGAGCACACGCGTCCTCTGTTAGATGTTATATGAAGACTCCTGGTCTGTCCCTGGTGTTTTAGTCACACAAGCTCCTTTGTTTTGCAGACATCAAGCTGGACGCTGGCGTGAACCTTCACCTAGAGCTGATCCTTCACTCCTCTCACTGGAGCAGTTGTTGAAGGTATTGAACAAATGAATAGCACAATAGCAAAACGCAATGTAAAGCACACAATATACGCACACGCACTCAGCTTCTTAGGGAGATTTGAGATTGTTTGAAGGGTTGAGGGTGAAAAAGATTCAAATGTGCAAATGCCTGTGAAACAGACTGAGAATCTGGCTGAGGCAAAGGCGTCAGAGGAGGACAAGCTGAAAGCGGTGATGTACCAGTCCAGCCTGTGCTACTACTCCAGCAGGTGAGCGTTCAGACACTGACAGGTTTGCTTTGTGAGAGATGTCTGAGCTGATTCTCATGGTTCTGATGTTCACTAGTGAGGCCATGAGGCTGCTTGGGATCCCGGGACACCACATTAGGCACTGCCCCACTAATGTGGTAACTGGGTTTTCCAAGCTCACGGTTGCTGTGAACTTGAGCTCTTGTCCTCATCAGTCAGATTGTTTGCTCAGAGTTTGACTGTCACTCCTCAATTCACAGGGCAGCCGCTCCGCGCCGCACAAGCGCATCCGGAAGAGCACAGGGATTCCCCGCAGCTTCCTGTTGGAGGTGGACGACCCAGACCGAAAGGGAGTCATGATAGACGGCAGCGGCAGATACGTCATTCCCATCATAGACGCGTGAGTAAACTGTACTTGGCATAGCCGCATGTTCTAGTGTTTGTCCAAATCTCACATGATGTCTGCTTGTGTGTGTTTGCGCTCGATCTGTTCAGTGAGGCCTATGCTGCTGAGAAGAGAAAGAGGCCGTCCTTCTCCTGCCAGACCGAGCCTTTGCCCTCCTCGTCCTCAGCAGGTGCGGCATCTTCGGTCCGGGACGCCGGAGGGAAACGGTCCCGCTCCCCATCTTCACCAGAGACGCGCGGCGACCAGAAGAGACCACGTCGCTGAGAGACCTTCATCCAAGAGACCTGGAGCCGACGTGTAAATATTGTACATAGTTTATTAATAAAAGATAATAAAGATTATAGCCGCATGAACTGTGTGGACTGGTTAACCTTCACTCCAGCAGTGCAACACACACACACACACACACACACACACACACACACACACACGAATGAATTCATAAACACAATATCATGAAGTTTTGCTTTAATTTAGGAAAAGAGAAACTCTTCCTTTGCTAAAATCTGATGGGTTTTTTTCAGCGTTCTTACTTCAGTCTTTAATGTCAGGTGATCCTTCAAATGTCAGTGTAAAGTGTTGAGTACACTACTAGTGCTCAGTCGTGTTTTTCATAGTTACCAGTGCCGATGGAGTTTTTTAAAGCGTCATATTCTGCTGGAAACGTTTCATTTGAATGGTAATGTCCCATAAGCGGAGGTCTTGTGAGTAACTTCACAAGTCGGTCAAAGTCTACACCGGTGACAAGCTCATCTACTCCCAGAACCTGCTACTCTCTACCTACACGTTGTCAGCTGATGTTTCAAAACCTCAACACTCGCATACAGAACAGCCTCAGCGTCTGCACCTCTTATCGGCACTAGCTGCAAGTCTACACCCCCTCTGTCCAGAAGTGAGCACAGCCTCTTGGTACCATCCCAGCAAGCATTTTTTTGGGGTGTTTAAAGGTGCCAACTGACCATCAAAAGTAAAAATGACTCATTTTATCTCATCCCAACAGGGAAACCACCAACAATAAAGAATGAGTTACTATCTGGTGTCATGGCTTTGCAATTAAAACAAGTTTAGTTATAATGGAGGTCATTGGGGGCAAAAACAGCCACTTGAACAATATGAACAATACATAAGGGTTAAAAGTCTAATAGACGGCTTGGTTAAAACCAGGCTAAATCTAGGCTGTCAGTGAGTGTGCACCCCTAACCCCGCCTCTCACAGTGACCTCACTAGCTCCGCTGAGTGCTTTGTGTCTCAGATTGCATGCAAGTCTGCAGCCAGATACTGCTGGAAGCTAGTCATCAAATACACAGGAACGAATGACTACACGTGTCAATCTGTCTATTAAACTATCTAATCTGTCTAGTCAGTCTTTTATTATCTTTTATATGCAAAAATATTCATTCATAAAAACATATGTATATATGAACACTGGGTCAAATAGGGTCCGTGCATTTTAAATCTAATAACAAAAATAACCCAATGTTGGTTTTGTCCATATTTAAATGAACGTGTGTAAACGCACGCTTTGATCAAACCTTTTATTCCCCTTGATGATATTGTGCTTTTTTTTCCCCTCAATGCCCTCCAAAGTTTCAATGTTTGGCCGTGTCTGCCATACCTGTTTTGTTTTAAAAAAAAAAAGGAAAAAAAAGGAATGCATCGGTTCCTGCATGTAGAATTCAGAAATCTCATGGCATTGAAAGAAAACTGGCAGCAGTTGAGTGCCGAGGTCAAAGGTCAGATGAGCAGGCATCACACCTGATAAACACCTGGGGCAACTGTACAGTAAAAAAAAAAAACAAAAAAAAAAAAACAACAAGATTAAGAAATATTGCTTTAATTTGAGAGAGACAAAAAAAACTCTTCCGTGTTAAAATTTGATGTTCCTCCAGCGTTCTTACGTCAGTCTTTAATGTCAGGTGATCCTTCAAATGTCAGTGTAAATTGTTGAGTGTACCATTAGTGCTCAGTCGTGTTTTTCATAGTTACCAGTGCCGATGGAGTTTTTTTTTTTTAGAGCGTCATATTCTGCTGGAAAAGTTTCATTTTAATGGTAATATGCCATGAGCGGAGGTGTATGAGTAACTTCACAAGTTGACCATAGTCTAGACCGATGACATGCTCATCGACTCCCAGAACCTGGCAGAACGAAATGTTGCAGCTCGTCCGGTCTTCAATGATGAGCCCAAAAGAGGCCACTTCACAGAGCCGGCCCAAGGCTTAAGAGAACTGAGAGGCAGGACAAGATGGCGGGCTGGACTTGGTTAACTTTAGATTTTACACAAATCTCATTGTTTTGTTTTTCACCTAAAATAGTAATTAAAACATCCAAGATGTGTTTTGCCTCATCAAAATGTGGAATTTGATCAGCAAACTACTCATTCTAAGACAACTATGCCTTGGGCTAAATGACTTGGCTTCAAGTACGATGCCACACGATTCAGAAATGAAGGTACAGACTGCACAAACAGATAAACGACATGATGCATCTCATTTCACCACAACTAAAGGCAGCGACAAAAAAAAAGTCAAGCTCTCACGATGATGACATTTCTCATGCAACCCTTTAGCAAGTCTACATAGTATTTATGCCTAAAAGTCACTGCATGGGTAAATAAGAAACAAGCAACACACACACACACACACACATATATATATATATATATCCATGGGCCACTGTAAAGTAATATGGTTCTGTCATAACGTTTTGAATGAAAATCTGCATTTGGATAAGACACCTTTAGTATAGTTTTGATTTTAAGGCATAATAAAGATCAAATGCAAGTACGAGTGGATTTACATTGAAAATTTCAAACGCATCAAGTAAACCATGTGCTAAGGAAATTTCAAACCATTTGGAACGCACAGAGACGAGCTTTTGTGCAAAATTGAACTTAAAGGTGCCTTTAAAAAAGTGTCAAAGTACTTTTGAAAACAAAAAAGCAAACCCCCAATAGGTGGCAGCAAGAGGCCGCTTTATTTGAGTAAAGCATTGAACGATTCATTCAGCCAAAGAAGCCAATAGGATGAACGGACAGTTGAATCAATCCCTGAATCATCGACTCACCCGAGTCTTCTTGGCGAAGGCCTGAATCGTTCGTGCAGGGAAACGTCGCTGTGTATTATTCAGAGATGGCCAACTGTTCTGCTGTTTATTTTATTATACTTATCGCAATGATTTTACTACTACTATCAATAAAATTAATATTAATAATGATAATATTGCCGGAAGTTGTACAGCGCATGCGTCACGTGTTCATCATCAGCATCCATGACAACCGTCCTGTGGGTGTTGTTTGAATCTCGCTGTGTCGATTGGCATCTGATCTCTGCGTCCTCCGTGACAATTTTTCCAGATTATCGATATTATTGATCGTTGGATACGTCGATTGATCGCCTGCTGTTCCCATCACTCAGGTTTGACCCTTTTTATTACGCTGTGCTTTGTGTTTGTGTTCAGTATGTCTTGTGTTCACTACAGGTTCCAGAGTCGACTCACCTACGACTCGCTCCAGTTTGAAGGCCTCAACATCAGCGCGGGGGAGCTGAAGCGGCAGATCATGAGGAGCAAGAGGCTGAAGTTCTGCCAGCTGAAGATCAGCAACGCCCAGACTGATGAAGGTGAGTTGAGGAAAAGACACTTCAACTGTTCTACGCTAACATTAGATGCGTTATATCAGACACTTCTGGAAGCTGTAAGGTGGTGCTGATGCTGACATGTAGGGATGTTTTGGCTGTTTTAAAAGGCTAATGGCTCTCAAAGTATACCGTGCTCCATAATTATGTGCTGATTCTGATTTTATTTTGCTGTCAGAATACACAGATGATGCTCTCATCCCTAAAAACACGTCGGTCATCATCAGACGGATCCCTGCGGCGGGACTGAAGTCCTCAAACAGAAGATTTGTTGGGTGAGTGCTGTGAAATGAGCACACGCGTCCTCTGTTAGATGTTATATGAAGACTCCTGGTCTGTCCCTGGTGTTTTAGTCACACAAGCTCCTTTGTTTTGCAGACATCAAGCTGGACGCTGGCGTGAACCTTCACCTAGAGCTGATCCTTCACTCCTCTCACTGGAGCAGTTGTTGAAGGTATTGAACAAATGAATAGCACAATAGCAAAACGCAATGTAAAGCACACAATATACGCACACGCACTCAGCTTCTTAGGGAGATTTGAGATTGTTTGAAGGGTTGAGGGTGAAAAAGATTCAAATGTGCAAATGCCTGTGAAACAGACTGAGAATCTGGCTGAGGCAAAGGCGTCAGAGGAGGACAAGCTGAAAGCGGTGATGTACCAGTCCAGCCTGTGCTACTACTCCAGCAGGTGAGCGTTCAGACACTGACAGGTTTGCTTTGTGAGAGATGTCTGAGCTGATTCTCATGGTTCTGATGTTCACTAGTGAGGCCATGAGGCTGCTTGGGATCCCGGGACACCACATTAGGCACTGCCCCACTAATGTGGTAACTGGGTTTTCCAAGCTCACGGTTGCTGTGAACTTGAGCTCTTGTCCTCATCAGTCAGATTGTTTGCTCAGAGTTTGACTGTCACTCCTCAATTCACAGGGCAGCCGCTCCGCGCCGCACAAGCGCATCCGGAAGAGCACAGGGATTCCCCGCAGCTTCCTGTTGGAGGTGGACGACCCAGACCGAAAGGGAGTCATGATAGACGGCAGCGGCAGATACGTCATTCCCATCATAGACGCGTGAGTAAACTGTACTTGGCATAGCCGCATGTTCTAGTGTTTGTCCAAATCTCACATGATGTCTGCTTGTGTGTGTTTGCGCTCGATCTGTTCAGTGAGGCCTATGCTGCTGAGAAGAGAAAGAGGCCGTCCTTCTCCTGCCAGACCGAGCCTTTGCCCTCCTCGTCCTCAGCAGGTGCGGCATCTTCGGTCCGGGACGCCGGAGGGAAACGGTCCCGCTCCCCATCTTCACCAGAGACGCGCGGCGACCAGAAGAGACCACGTCGCTGAGAGACCTTCATCCAAGAGACCTGGAGCCGACGTGTAAATATTGTACATAGTTTATTAATAAAAGATAATAAAGATTATAGCCGCATGAACTGTGTGGACTGGTTAACCTTCACTCCAGCAGTGCAACACACACACACACACACACACACACACACACACACACACGAATGAATTCATAAACACAATATCATGAAGTTTTGCTTTAATTTAGGAAAAGAGAAACTCTTCCTTTGCTAAAATCTGATGGGTTTTTTTCAGCGTTCTTACTTCAGTCTTTAATGTCAGGTGATCCTTCAAATGTCAGTGTAAAGTGTTGAGTACACTACTAGTGCTCAGTCGTGTTTTTCATAGTTACCAGTGCCGATGGAGTTTTTTAAAGCGT